TTTCTTTAAGCTTCTACCATATGTGTTCCATCAACATTTGATACATAATGAAGTGTTATTCTTTTATGTTGATAATATTTAAGTGCTTCTGTAACCATAACTGGTCCAAGGTCACTTCCTCCAATTCCAATATTAACAATATCTGTAAATTCTTTACCTGTATATCCTTTAATATTTCCATTTCTTACTCCTTCTGCAAATTTTCCCATTTTCTTAAGAACTGCATTAATACCTGGCATAACATCTTTTCCATCAACAACTACTGGATTATTACTTCTATTTCTAAGTGCTGTATGAAGAACTGCTCTTTTTTCTGTATTATTAATTTTTACTCCTGTAAATTCTGCTTCAATTTTTTCTTTTAAATGAACTGCTTCACATAATTTTATTAAAAGTTTCATTGTTTCTTCATCAATAAGGTTCTTTGAATAATCTACAAAAATGTCTTCAAATTGAATTGAAAACTTCTTAAATCTTTCTGGGTCTTTATTAAATGCTTCTTTCATAACAAACGTTTTCATTTGTTCATATTTTGCTTCAAGAGCTTTGTATTCTGGAAGAGTTGGTAACATTTTATTATCAATGTTTAAAAACAGTTTATTCCCCTTTTTATTTCTTCTCTTTGATTGCGTTGGTCCACGTATTCTAGAAGGGTTCTTCTTTTATTTTTTGGACTTTTTCATTATATCCTTCTTCCATTCTTTTTTTGTTTTTGATGATGTTTTTTATAGAGAAATTGTTTTTACTATAAACTATAGTATATTTATAATGTAATAATAGTATGAACTTCAGAATAAAGAAAGAAAATCCATAAAAAAAACTCGATATAAAATGATATTCCTCTTTTTATTAATTACCACATCATTTGGTTTCTTTAAAGTTCCTGGATGTGAAGAGAATCCTGACGGAGAGTTTAGTGAAAGTGATTTTGATTTTGTACCTGAATTATCGACTGTTTCATTTATTATAGGATTAGTTATTATGATTGGTACTATTTTATCTGTAATACCTCAATATGTTAAATTGATTAGAACAAGAAACAGTAGTGGATTATCGCCGTTCTATCTTCTTATTCAGTTTATAAATCAAGTTACTACAGTAGCAAATGCATGTATAACAAATGCAACATATATTCATTCATGTGTTTATATTGGATTTAGCCAATGTTTTCCAGTGTTAGTTTCGTGGACACAGATAATATTATTGGCTATGGTATATCTTCCACAAATTTTTTTCTATTTATTATTTTATCCAAACAAGAAAGAGTTTGCATTATTTAAATTACCTTTAATATGTACTCCTATTATAATAATTATTTCTATTCTTTGTTTAGGAACAGTTCCACTTCTTGAACTTACTGATGGAGAATGTGGGAATATAACAGGAGGTTTTGCATTTGTATATGGGATTATTGCTGCTGTTTGTGTTATTATTCAATGGTCACCTCAAATATATATGACATTTAGAAGAAAAGTTTGTAAATTTTTAAGTTCTAACACATATAATTCTCATTAAAACTAGGCTGCTGGAGCTTTAAGTATGCTTATGTTATCAATTACAGGACCAGGAATGACTATATTGACATTATATATGATATTTATCACTAAACAACCATTTTCAACATGGTTAAGTAATGCAGCAAGTGCAGTTCAGCAACTCATATTATTATCATTGTTAGTGTATTATGAATTAATACTTCCAAGATTTAAACATAAAGATCAAGAAAAAACACCATTAGTTGAGAATGAACAACAACCAATAAATGATTATAAAAATAATCAAAGTCCAAATGATTTAATTGAATGATCAAAGAATCAATTTTATAAATAATGTTTTAATAAATAAAAAAAATTTTATTACTCAGCAATAACTGGAACAAAATTAATACTTGGTAATAAAGAGTGTTCATAAAAATATTGTGATATTTGATCAATAATACTTGTTGATGGTTGATTTAATTGAAAACCTATATTAAATAAATTACCATTAATAATAATACCATCTGATTGAATATAATCAAATATTCCTACTAATGCATCATGATAAATTTTACCATTAGTTAATGCTTGTTTATTTAAATCAATTAATTTATAAGAACCATTAACATTTAATGTAATTATTTGAATTTTATGTTGAGAAGGTACTTCTTCATTAACAATATTTTTCTTTGATCTTCCTTCTATTATAGAAACTAATGGATTATTTTGAATAATTTGAATAATAGAATTAACTGTTTCATTTAAAATAAATTGTCGAATTATTCTTCTTTTGTTAAGACGATTTAAACCAATGTTTAATTGTTTTGCTTTTTCAAAGATACAATCTCTATTAAATACACACACTCCATTTTGGTCATATAATTGATATAATTGAATTATTGTTAGTGTTTTAGTTTTATATTTTTTTGGTTTTTCAAGTAATAAAGTATATCCCATTGTTGAAAGAATAGCAAAATAAAGAGATTGAATTCCAATATTTTTATCAACACTTTTATATTTCATTTTCTTTAATAATTCTTTGTCTTTCTTTTCTCTAATATCTTGTATTTGAATTAGTTGTTTATCATTTCTTTTATTTTCTATTTCATTATTAACAATACCAATATTATTAGTATCCA